CGTCTCCCCCACCCATGACAGCGCTTCGTGGCCCCAAAAGGAGCTCCAGCGAAGGTCCCAATGGCGCAGTTCGCATGCGTCCCCCTCGCCCAGGGCAGCGCTTCGTGGCCCCATAGGGAGCTACACGGAAGGCCCCAGTGGCGGTGTCCACATGCGTCCGCGCCACCAATTTCGACGCACCCCTCACAAGTTTCGTGGCCCCATCGGAGCTCCACCGAAACCGGTACCCACAATGCGGTACTCGCAACTGCACATGGTTGGGTCCTTCGTCAGGCTAATTACGAAACGCATCACGCTGTCAACGCGCTCCTGTCCACGCAAAAGCACCAGTGGTTGAACAGCGGTTATTCAGACAGGCGGAATCCTACATTCAGTCGGTTGGCTGCTTTGTTGAGCTTCCCGAAATCATAAGGCACTTGAAAACAGAATGGAGGCAGCGAATGAGATCGGCGCAGAAACCTCATGTCCCAGATTCGATGGGCGCGTTTACTACAATCCTGTTCCTGCCAAAGCCATGGCAGAACATGCCATCGCCTGTTTTTGCTGGTCTTCCAACAGATGCTGCGTTAACCAGGTCGTCAGTGTCTTTCCCTGGCTACCCTCGTATATCGGCGTACCCTGGCTTGGGCAAGTGCTTGTTCAACGCCGTGTGGCACCTAACGCCAAGTCATTGGCAGACGCAGGATCCTGTCGATGGAGGGCCACGCACAGCTTGGGAATTCAACAATCTGATTTCGAGCTCCCATGGCGTTGCTGCGGAAGGATATCTTCCACTTGAGCACGCAAGCCGCCAACAGTTAGTGGACATGGAGAATAACTTCCAAGTCGTCTGTCATGAATCACACGTCACAGAAACGTGCTTCAACGATCATTTCTACGCCGTTATCTCGGGAGGCGGTTCAGTTCCTGCCAAGGCCGTCCTTGTTCACGACTCAGGTCTCGGCGCGGCTGCGGCCATTGACGCGCAAGTATTGCTTCATTGCTTGACGAGCACCGCGTGACCACTTTCGTTTTGAGGCGTTTCGCAGGCAGGCCGACGGCCCCCCGAGGGAGATGTCTATAGCCTGCCTGGCTCTGGGAAGCGTCTTTCGATTTGTCATACTCCTCGCGCGCGGAAGCCGCAGCGAAGCGTTGCGGTTCTCAAGCGCTCGAGCGGCGTCCCATATACTCCACCGTCCCAGGTTAATCTCACTGCAAAGCGAAATAAATCGCGCAGCGGCGTGAAACATCAGGGCACCAGTCACATTCATCCGAACAGCCTCGTCGGTTCATTGCCTCTGGACGACATGTCTCTTGCGAAAAAGATGCAACCGCTCAGGAGGAGGACGCATCAAACTGAGCTTGCAACAAGTTGTCGGTTTAGTCGTTTGTTTTTCCGAAAGCATTGCGGCGACTCCCACTGCGCAACTGTGCGGCGTCCAACTTAATACAACTTCCAGGTGGTTCAAAATATGCCGTGGGATCATTGCAAAAAAAAGGTGGTGGATATGCAGGAAGGCTTCGGCAAACAGGGCGCATGGGCGTCATCGTGGAGGTCGACGCATCTGTGTCCAGCGGGTGCATCGACCCTCCTGTGGCAGCAGGCAATGCCCAGAACTTTTCATATACACGCATAATTGCGTTACTTGTTATGTTAGGGGCTCAAAGAAAATCAGAATAGAGAAGCTGCCAGAGAGGAAAAACAACTACATATTGAAGGGACAGCAGAAGACAATGAGTGGCGGCACCATCCGTTCGAAGGCAAAGAGCTGCTGCCTTCTGGTCATCCTGCGCTGTCTCTGCCTGAAGGGAGAACGTTCCTTACCAAGTATTCCAAATCTGGCGTGCTGTCGTCAGATTCAGCTGCAACCTATGACGCCTTAGCGAACAAAAGAAAAATCGTTGGAAACCGAGCGAAGGACATCTCTGTCGTTCACGCAAAGGAGGAGTGGGCGAAGATTTTTCAAGAGTGACAACAAGAAAATCCGGGGCGGTACTCAGTACATGGATGGCTTCTTTGGGAACAATAAGCAGTGGGCGAAGCCAAGACACATTCGGAGGGATGATGTGGTGACATCCGTCAGGGAATTTCAGTTCTGGTTCTGCGCGAAGAAAGACGACCGTTTGCTGTCATTTGGCAAGGTTTGCAGTGAAGCGAAGTGATGCTGTTCAACTCTGCGCCATGCTGCGTGTTGCTGTTGTACTTTGTCTCAGTGCTTGCGTATCGTGATGAAGAGCCTTCATTCATCCATTTAATATGGCTCCGCCTCAGGCGTGGGGTTCTCCGTTTCCAGAATTCACACTAAGGGTTTCTATTGAAAGGCGCTACAAAAGGGCTTCTAGTGTAATCCGCCACACCAAGAATTTAAGTGTAATACGACACAGATGGATTTTTATGAAATTCAGAACAAGGATTTCTATTGTAAGTCGCCACATAAGGAACCCTATTGTGGCGGCCAAGAAAATGTTCGGAAAAGGGCATTTCTTGTTGTTTCTCTCTGTGCCGCCGTAACGGAAAAAAAGGAGGATGCGTTTTTTCGATTGATTCATGATTTTGTTTTTTTTATTGTTGCCTCTCCCCAACAATTTCTCTTGACCGCCACAATAGAATTATTTTTGTGGCGAATTGCAATATAAATCGTTTTGTGGCAAATTCAACAAAAATCTTTCTGCGTCGGATTACACTCGGATTCCTTTTGTGGCGGATTCCATAGGAAATCCTTTTGTGGCGCCTTTCAATAGAAATCCTTTTGTTGCGGATTACAACAGTGCTTTTTTTGTGGCGTCTACAGTGAGATTATGTTCTCTTCTCCTCCCGATTTTAATTGCTTTCAAGTAAAGTGGAAACCAAACAAACAACAACAATCAAACACGCTAGACGACAACCTTTTCAAACGAAAAACATACGGGAACGTCTAGAAGTGGAATCGCCCCCTGGAGGGCCCTGCACGGGTCCGGGGACGAGAAGAGAAAACGACTCGGGAGGAAAAATCGGCCCCAAGGAAAGGGCTGGGACTTTTGGGGACCCCGTGCTGGGCGACCTGGGGTGGAGCGACCTGGTGGCCCAGCTTTGTCCGAGCGAGTGGCTAGTAAGTATTCGCCATTTCAATGAAACGATGGCGTCCATTATAATCAAATGATAAACGTCTTTTGCTTCGGTAGGCCCCCACCGAAAAAACCTTCGGCGCTTGTTCCCAGCGGGGGCGCGCGCCTCCTGGAACCGAGGTGCGAAGGGGCCCGGCGTCTCGACCAGCGCAGCGCGTCCGGGCGGCAGGTCGCGGGGTGAGGTCTCCCGAAAGCCTAACAGCCCCAGGGCCCCTGACGAAAGAGACCGAAGCAAGAGTCCCCGGAGCGACCAACCAGCCCCCCAAACGAGCCTTGCGAAACGCAGAGAACCTGTTCGGAGAGAACCTGGAGCCAGTTGAAAGAGCAAGAGGAGGAGCAGCGGCAGCAGCAGCACGAGGAGGAGGAGGAGGCGGAGGAAAAAGGAGGAGGAGGAGGAGGTGAGGCGGACCTCTCCTTACGCCCCGTCCTCCTCTGCGACGGGGCGCATGTCGCGTTTGATGGGACGCCGTGAAGAAGTGGCCGGCGTATGCGTGATGTTGTGCTGGATTGTGTTCGGTTCGATTCTGGCCCAGTACAGTGCTGGGGATCTGGCGCCGCGGTATGCGGAGTGGACGGGTCAGGAGGTCAGTTCTGCTTGAATGTCTAACCCAACCGCTCTCCTCCCTCCTCCTCCTCCCCCCTCCTCCCCCTCCCCCCTCCCCCTCCCCCTCCTCTCCCCCTCTCCTCCTCCTCCTCCCTCCTCCTCTCCTCCTCCTCTCTCCTCCTCCTCCTCCTCCCTCCTCCTCCTCCTCCTCTCTCCTCCTCTCTCCTCCTCCCTCCTCCTCCTCGTCCTCCTCCTCCCGTCCTCCCTCCTCCTCCTCTCCCTCCCCTCCTCTCCTCCTCCTCCTCCTCCCTCCTCCTCCTCCTCCCTCCTCCTCCTCCTCCTCCTCCTCTCCTCCTCCTCCTCCTCCTCCTCCTCCTCCTGGGGAGGCCAGGGGCTGGCCCGTGCACATTCTGGAGATGCACGCCCGCAGCTCGCCGAGGGCAGGCTGTCTGAGCGTGCCCCCGCAGCGCCCGACCTGCAAAGCAACGAGACAGGCCTCGGGAAAAAAATAGCGAACACTCATGCCACATTCATCTGTGAATAGGGGAACAAAAAGTGACATAAACATAAAAACTCGGAGGTCCGCGCGGATTTCTCGGATCGGCGCTGGGGCCCCCCGGCGGCGCCTCCGGCGCCGCCCCTGGCGCGCTCCGCGCGCCAGGGAGGGGTGTCCAGCGCCGATCCGAGAAATCCGCGCGGATCTCCGAGTTTTTATGTTTATGTCACTTTTTGTTCTCCTAGTGAACGCCTCCCCCTCCCCCCAATGTTCAAAGTTGGCGGTGGGTCTGATGAGTTGCACCTCGACCGCAGTCTCCCCCCCGCGTGCCAACTTTGGGTTTGGGCGGCAGGGGGGCTGTTCACGAATTGTTTCCCTCTACCGGATCACCTCATCCTGCAAATGCCGGACCTTGTCGCCGCACTGGCCCCTAAATGTGGTAAATGAGTTAGAACTCCAGGTACGCTTCGCCTACATCTGCGGTGCGACACAGTGCGCGTTGGCATTGCCAGCCGTCCCACCGCTGGATGTAGCAAGGGAGCTCATGACGTCGAGACCCGACTTGACTTGCAAAGCCTGCAGCAACAACAACACATGCTCCCAACACCAGCCTCTTCTGGCACATCATCGCGCTCTACTCGACAAAGCTGCGCCCCAACTTCAACAACAAGTCATCGAGAACTGACGATGCCATTTGCCACTGCCCGCCCATCTCGCATGCGTTGGTCACAGTAGCGTACATGTTAGCATCCGTATCCAAACCTGCCTCCTTCGCTTTGCTGAGCAACGACAACACCTGCTGCCACTGCCCGCGGTGCTCACACGCTAGCATCCCAGCGTTGTAACTGATGGCATCGGCCTCCAGCTGCGCTTCATTTACCTCGCAGAGTAGCGCCAAAACCCGTTGCCACTGCGCACCCTTCTCGCACGCGCTGATCCCAGCGTTGTAGCTGACTGGTATGAACCCGCGTGTATGAAATCCACGGTGTGCTGCGGGAAGCTTGCGGGGAGCCTCGGGAGGGTGTCGGGGTCACCCCAATGGCTATCGGCAAGACCATGAGACATGTCGGCGGGAGAGCCATGCCTCGGCGTGTCGCTGGCGGACAGAGTTGTGGGGCGCATGGGGGAGCTCCGAGACGTCTCGAAGGGCCTGTTTGGTGGGCTGCTAAATTCCCCCTGCGGTTTTTCTGGTCCCCTTGGACGTCTCGGGGAGGCTTTGGAGGCTAGCGTGGGGGTCCCCAGCAGTTTCGTTGAGGGGGATGCCGCGGCATCGCGCTCCCAAACCTATTTTGGCGTCGGGCGGTGAACTGCCTTGGAAGGCGCTGGAGCCCGAGGTGGCCGAGGGCGGCGGCGACGGCGACAGCGAGCAGGACTGCGACGGCGGAGACGACGACGACGACGACGACGACGACGACGACGACGACGACGACGACCACGACGACGGCGACGGCGACGGCGACGGCGACAGCGACGACGACGACAACGACGACGACGACGGCGGCGGCGACGACGACGACGACGACGACGACGACGACGACGACAGCGACGACGACGACGAAAACGACGACGATGACGACGACGACGACGACGACGACGACGACGACGACAACCTCGGATTACGACCCTTCAGCGGCGGTCGTTGCCTCTTTGAATTTCCTGTCAGGCTTTCGAGCGCCTGTAACGATTATGATTTCGTGCGGGCCCCTAGGGAAGCTTTTGGGGACCTCTTGGGCTGTTCCCAGGCGAAGACGACGACGACCTCGGATTAAGACCCTCCAGCGGTTGTCGCGGCCTCTTCGAATTTCCTTCCGGCCGGACGTCTCGCCTTCAAACGCCTGTTACGATCATGATTGCGTGCGGGCCCCTAGGAAAGAAAGCTTTTGGGGATCTCTTGGGTGGTTCTCGGGGCTCGTGTCGGTTCTCGTGGGAGCTTGCTGGAGGCCTCGGGAAACTCTGGGGGGGCGCTCTGGGGGCTACCAGGAAAGCCACGCGACCTCGAGGGGAACCCCTTGGCGGCGGCGGCGGGCGGCGGGAGGCGACGGCGCTGCGCGCCCCTCGGGAAGCTTTTGGGGACCCCTCGGGTGGTTCTCGGGGCTCGTGTCGGTTCTCGTGGGAGCTTGCTGGAGGCCTCGGGATACTCTGGGGGACCCTCTAGGGGCTATCGGGGAAGCTGCGTGACCTCCAGGGGAACCCCTTTGCGACGGCGGCGGCGGGCGGCGAAGGCGACGGCGCGGGAGTGCGCCTGCGTCTGCTGCCATCCCAGCATAGTAGCTGATGACATTGGGCTCCAGCTTCACTTCCCACATCTCGCTCAGTAGCGCTAGCGCTCGCTGCCACTGCTCGCTCGTCTCGCACGCGCTGATCCCAGCATTGTAGCTGAGAACCGCGGCCTTCCAGCCGCGGAATTTGCCCGCCATGGTGTGGACGTAGAAATGGAGCGTCTCTGGGGCCTCGCGGGCAAGGGGAGGTTGGAGGGGACGGCGTGGATGGAGGAGGTGGCCGCTGGAGGGGGAGGCGGGCGGGGGATGCAGGTAAGCTGGCCTGAAAGCAGGAACGCGGTGGTGAAGGCGGTGTCAGTGGAAGCACACCCATGTAGGCATGACATGGCGTGGACAGAAGCTGTTTCTAACGCCGTAGTCTGTGTTCATCATAGCTTCTGCGGGGAGGGTAGCTGTGAGAAGCTTATCTGCTCTTCGCCGGGGCCGAATGATAATTTTACCTGGTAGTGTGGTGACAGTGGGGCCAGTGGGCGCGGCCTGGGAGGGCCCGCAAGAGGGCGGCGAGACGGAACTCCCTGAGACGGGCCCCAGTGCGAGGACACGAACCGACCTTTCGAACGCACCGCCCCAAGACGTCCCCAAGGGCGCAGGGATGGCTCCCAGAGGGTCCAAGAAGCCTCCAAAACGATGCTGGAAGTTCGACGCTCCCCAAGAGAGAAGCATCCGAAGCCTCTTGGGGGCCGCTCAGGGGCCTCTTTTCGTCCTCCTGGGGGTCTCTCGGAGTGCGTCTTGGGCCGTCTTGGGGCGATGTGGGGCCGTCTTGGGCGCCTGTCGGACAATCTTGAGACAGTCTTGGGGCCATCTTGGGCCAATGTTGAGCGCTCTTGGGGCTGTCTCTGGTGTTTCTTGAACCGTCTCGGGCGCCTCTGGAGCCGTCCCGGACGGTCCAGAGACCGTCTTGGAGACTGTCCAAACGGAAAGGCTTGTAGACGGGGCGGTGGGGGCCTCTACAGCCGTCTTGGAGACGGGGCGGTGGGGCCGTCTTGGGCCATTCTTATCTGCTCTTGGGGCTGTCTTGGGTGCGTCTTGGGCGCCTGTGGAGCCGTCCCGGGGCCGTGTGGGGCCCTTTGGGGGCCCTCCGGGGGGCGTCACGGCGCGTCTTGGGGCGAGCTGGGGGGCACGTACAGCCGTCTTGGACGCTGCGAGGACGAAACAGCAATATATATATATATATATATACACATACATACATATATACATATAGGCATACATATATATAGATATGTGTGTGTGTGTCTCACTCGTACCTTATATATATATATATATATATATATATATGTGTGTGTCTATATGTATATATATGTGTATATATATATATATATATATATATATAGGTTGAAATGTACGTTTCCCGTCGGGAATGGGACGATTTGGGCCTCTTGGGGCTCTCGTGGAAGCCTCCTGGGCCGTCCTGGGAGCTGCCTGGGCCTCGGGGGCCTCTGGGGCTGCCTCGGGGGCCTCTACGGGGCTGTCTTGGGGCTCCCAAGAATGCTCTGAGGCCGTCTTGGCGCCCCCTGGAGCCTCTCGGAGCCATCCCGAGGCAGTTTTTGGAGCATCTGCGCCCCGGAGGGCGCCCGGGAGGCACTCAAGACAGAGGACCTTCTCGCACGCGCGGACCCCTGCATTGTAGAAGAGATGACGTCGGGCTCCAGCTTCGCCTCCCGCATCTCAGTCAGCAACGCCAGCGCCCGCTGCCACTGCTCGCCCTTCTCGCACGCGCTGATCCCAGCATTGTAGCTGACTAGGGCAGACCTGTGGACTCCGTCCACGACATCAGCTCGACGTGGTGAGGGGTCTCTGGGCAAGCGCGGCGTGCCTGTCGCCTCTCGTCCGCTCCCCCGCTCCTGGAGGGAATTCTGAAGCCACTGAAGGCTTCGTGGGGGCCGTTTCGGAGCCTCTTCGGCCTTCTTTTGGGCCTCCCGGGGGTGTCTTAGGGCCCTCTCGGGCCGTCTTGGGTGCCTCTTGGGCCGTCTTGGGGCCGTCTGAGGCCCGCCTCGGCGCCTCTTGGGCTGTCTTGGGCCGTCTTGGGCCGCTCCTGGGGCCGTCTTGGGTGCCTATTGGGCCGTCTTGGGCGCCTCCTGGGCCGTCCTGGGGCCGTCCTGGGGCGTCTTGGGACCGTCTTGGGGCCCTCCTGGCCCGTCTTGGGGCTCTCTTGGGGTCCTCTTCGGCCGTCTTGGAGCGGTCGGGGGGACTTCTTGGGCCGTCTTGGAGCGTCGGGAAGCCGAAGAGGCGAGGAGGCCGAAAACATCGAAAAACACAATAGAAATCGACGATTTCTGTCGCTCGGGGCCCTCTTGGGAGGCCTCTTGGGAGGCCTCTTCGGGCGTCTTGGACGCCTCTTGGGCCGTCTGGGGCGAATCTCGGGCGTCTTGGGCCCATCTTTAAGCGTGCCGGGGCTCTCCGGGGCCGTCTTGGGGGCTTCTGGGGGCCCTCTCGACATGTCCTGGAGCCTGCCTGGGCGGCCCGGGGCGGCCCGGGGCCAGCCCGGGGCGGTTTTTGGTGCATTGGGGCCTGCGCCATTCTGGCACGCACTGGGCCCTGCAATGTAGTAGAGACGACGTTGGGCTCCAGCTTCACTTCCCGCATCCCGCCCAGTAGCGCCAGCGCTCGCTGCCACTGCTCGCCCTTCTCGCACGCGCTCATCCCAGCGTTGTAGCTGACTAGTGTGAACCCGTGGAAAAGCCACGGCCCGCAGGTCCAGGCGTTGGTCCCGAACGCGCACGTGTCGGATGAACTGGAAGCGTCAAAAGTAATGTGTTTTTGCTAATCGCGCGAGGCCTGGGCGCGATTAGCAGAAACACATAGGTTTTCAGACGCAATCAGAGTAAGGGGGCCCGAACGATCTTTCAGAGCCCCTGTGCGCGAGAAGTTCGATGTGGGGGGTGGACGCGTGGGGGCCAGAGTTGGGCGCTACGTTGGGGGGCCTCGTTTGAGGGCCACGTTGGGGGGTCTCGTCAGGGTGTCATGGTTGGGGCCAACGTTCGCGGCACTGCTGGGGGCCATGTTTGGGGGCCGCGTGCGGCGTTCGGGGGCACATGTGACGGTCGCGTTTGAGGGTGTGGGGTTCGGGGGCAGATGTGACGGTCACGTTTGAGGGCAATGGTTAGGGGCTGTGTGTGTTGGGGCCACGTTTGGGGGCGCCTGGGGGCTACGCGTGGGGTTGACGTTCGGGGGCCACGCTTACTGGGGCGGCAGGGGCGACCTTCGGAGGCTTTGTGTGGGGGCCGCCTTTGGGGGTCCCGTTTGGAGGCCGCGCGTGGGGCCGACGTGCAAGGGGCCACGTCCAGGGGCGATCTCAGAAAGCAGTCGGGGAGCCCCGGGGGCACTGACCTGGAAGCGTGAAAAGGAATGGGTTTTTGCTAATCGCGCTGGGACTGGGCGCGATCAGCAAACTCAAGGGTTTTCAGGCACCGTCAGAGTGAAGGGGCCACGTTAGCGGGCCCCGCAGGGTGGTCCTGGGGCCATCTCGGGGTTCTCGGGCCGTCGAGATGGCCGTCTCGAGAGCTCTGGCAGATCGAAGCCAGCAGAACCGAGAGAGCAGCGGTGAGGCCCCCGATACAGCCAAGGGTGCGGGTGCTGGTATACGTAGGGCCCCCGAACTGGCTGTAGTGGCCTGCGGGCAATGTCGCTGCGGGCCTGGGTAATGGGTAAGAGATCTCGTGGATGGTGGTTGGGATCTCGTGGTTGGCCTCTCGGGAGCCTCTGGGAGACAGTTTGGGGGCTGCTTGGTACATCTTGGGCCCTCTTTTGGGGCCTCTTGGGGGTCTTTTGGGGCGCTTGGCGGCCTCTGGGGGGCCTCTTGGAGCCTCTGTGGGGCGTCCTGGGGCCTCCTGGGGATGTCTTGGGAGCGTCCCGGCGTTTCTTTGGGGCGTCTTGGGGCTTCCTGGGGGCCTCTTGGGGTGGAGGCCTAAATTTTTCGGTTCTGGGTCCTTGTCTGGGGCCTCTCTTGGGGCCTTCTTGGGGCCCTCTTGGGCTGTCTTGGGCGACTCCTGGGCCGTCTTGGGGCCCTCTTGGGCCGTCTTGGGGCCGTCTTGAACGGTCTGGGGGGCCTCTGGGGCGGTCTTGGAGCGTCGGAAAGCCGAAAACGCGAGAAGGCCAGAAACATCGGAAAAAAACAAATAAAATCAACGATTTTGGCTTCTGCGGCCCCTCTTGGAGGTACACTTCGAGCGCTCTGGGAGCCTCGTGGACGCGTCCCGGGCAGTCTTGAAGGCGTCTTGAAGCCATTTTGAGCGTCTCGGATCCACTCTTGGACCGTCTTGGGCCGTCTTCAGGTCCTCCTGAGGCCGTCTTGGGGCGATCTGGGAATCCTGGATCAGTCCGCCAGCGGTCCGGGGGCCTCCAGGGCCCGTCGGGCAGCGGCCCGGAGGCTCTCCGGGCGGCCCGCGAGCTCTCTGGGCTGCCCTGGGCGCTGCCACTGCCTGACCTTCTCGCGCGCGCTTCGCCCGGAATTGTAGTACAGACTAGTGTGAACCCGTGGAAAAGCCACGGCCCGCAGGTCCAGGCGTTGGTCCCGAACGCGCACGTGTCGGAAGCGCTGGAAGCGTCAAAAGTCATGTGTTTTTGCTAATCGCGCGAGGCCTGGGCGCGATTAGCAGAAACACCTAGTTTTTCAGACACAATCAAAGTAAGGGGGTCCGAACGATCTTGCAGAGTCCCTGTGCGCGAGAAGTTCGATGTGGGGGGTGGACGCGTGGGGGCCAGAGTTGGGCGTTACGTTGGGGGGGCATCGTTTGAGGGCCACGTTGGGGGGTCTCGTCAGGGGGTCATGATTGGGGGCAACGTTCGCGGCCCTGCCGGGGGCCATGTTTGGGGGCCGCGTGCGGGGTTCGGGGGCACATGTGACGGTCGCGTTTGAGGGTGCGGGGTTCGGGGGCAGATGTGACGGGCACGTTTCAGGGCAATGGTTGGGGGCTGCGTCTTGGGGCCACGTTTGGGGGCGCCTGGGGGCTACGTGTGGGGTTGACGTTCGGGGGCCACGCTTACTGGGGCAGTAGGGGCGACCTTCGGAGGCTTTGTGTGTGGGGGCCGCCTTTGGGGGTTCCGTTTGGAGGCCACGCGTGGGGCCGACGTGTAAGGGCCACGTCCAGGAACGATCTTAGAAAGCAGTCGGGGAGCCCCGGGGGCACTGACCTGGAAGCGTGAAAAGGAATGGGTTTTTGCTAATCGCGCTGGGACTGTGCGCGATCACCCCAAACTCAAGGCATGGTCCACGGGGCCCTCGAGGCACGTCTCTGGGGCATTTCGAGGCCGTCGTGGGGCTCTGGCCGGATCGGCTTCGGCTCTCTTGGACGTCTCTGGGGCCGTCTTGGAGCGATGTGGGGGTCCGGGAGCCGTCGGGGAGCGCTCCAGGGGCGTCCTGGGGGCGTCGGGGAGTGGCTCAGAGCTCTGGCAGGTCGAAGCCAGCAGAACCGAGAGAGCAGCGGTGAGGCCCCCGATACAGCCAAGGGTGCGGGTGCTGGTATACGTAGGGCCCCCGAACTGGCTGTAGTGGCCTGCGGGCAATGTCGCTGCGGGCCTGGGTAATGGGTAAGAGATCTCGTGGATGGTGGTTGGGATCTCGTGGTTGGCCTCCCAGGAGCCTCTGGGAGACAGTTTGGGGGCTTCTTGGTAGCAGTTTGGGGGCGTCATGGGGCCTCTTGGGCTCTCTTTTGGGGCCTCTTGGGGGCTTTTGGGGCGCTTGGCGGCCTCTGGGGGGCCTCTTGGAGCCTCTGTGGGGCGTCCTGGGGCCTCCTGGGGATGTCTTGGGAGCGTCCCGGCGTTTCTTTGGGGCGTCTTGGGGCTTCCTGGGGGCCTCTTGGGGTGGAGGCCTCAATTTTTCGGTTCCTGGTCCCTGTCTCGGGCCTCTCTTGGGGCCTTCTTGGGACCCTCCTGGGCCGTCTTGGGCGACTCCTGGGCCGTCTTGGGGCCCTCTTGGGCCGTCTTGGGGCCGTCTTGAAGGCCTCTTGGGCCGTCTTGGAACGGTCTTGGGGGCCTTTCGGGCGGTCTTGGAGCGTCGGAAAGCCGAAAAAGCGAGAAGGCCAGAAACATCGAAACAAAAACAAATAAAATCAACGATTTTGGCTTCTGCGGCCCCTCTTGGAGGTACACTTCGAGCGCTCTGGGGGCCTCGTGGAGGCGTCTCGGGCCGTCTTGAAGGCGTCTTGAAGCCATCTTAAGCGTCTCGGATACACTCTTAGACCGTCTTGGGCCGTCTTCGGGACCTCCTGAGGCCGTCTTGGGGCGATCTGGGAATCCTGGATCAGTCCGCGAGCGGTCCAGGGGCCTCCCGGGCCCGTCGGGCAGCGGCCTGGAGGCTCTCCGGGCGGCCCGCGAGCTCTCTGGGCGGCCCGGGGCGCTGCCACTGCTTGTACTTATCGCACGCGCTTCGCCCGGAATTGTAGTACAGATAGCGTTGGGCTCCAGCTTCGCGTCCCGCATCTCGCTCAACAACGCCAGCGCCCGCTGCCACTGATCACCCTTCTCGCACGCGCTGATCCCAGCGCTGTAGCTGATGACGTTGGGTTCCAGCTTCGCCTCCCGCATCTCGCTCAACAACGCCAGCGCCCGCTGCCACTGCTCACCCTTCTCGCACGCGCTGATCCCAGCGTTGTAGCTGACTAGGGCAGACCTGTGGACTCCGTCCACGACATCAGCTCGACGTAGCGAGGGGTCTCTGGGCAAGCGCGGGGGGGTGCGGCTGCAGGGCCGAAAGGCAATCATGATGCCTGTCGCCTCTCGTCCGCTCCCCCGCTCCTGGAGGGAATTCTGAAGCCACTGAAGGCTTCGTGGGGGCCGTTTCGGAGCCTCTTCGGCCTTCTTTTGGGCCTCCTGGGGGGGCTCTTAGGGCCCTCTCGAACCGTCTTGGGTGCCTCTTGGGCCGTCTTGGGGCCGTCTGAGGCCCGCCTGGGCGCCTCTTGGGCTGTCTTGGGCCGTCTTGGGCCGCTCTTGGGGCCGTCTTGGGTGCCTCTTGGGCCGTCTTGGGCGCCTCCTGGGCCGTCCTGGGGCCGTCCTGGGGCGTCTTGGGACCGTCTTGGGGCCCTCCTGGCCCGCCTTGGGGCTCTCTTGGGGTCCTCTGCGGCCGTCTTGGAGCGGTCGGGGGGACTTCTGGGGCCGTCTTGGAGCGTCGGGAAGCCGAAGAGGCGAGGAGGCCGAAAACATCGAAAAACACAATAGAAATCGACGATTTCTGTCGCTCGGGGCCCTCTTGGGAGGCCTCTTCGGGCGTCTTGGACGCCTCTTGGGCCGTCTGGGGCGAACCTCGGGCGTCTTGGGCCCACCTTTAAGCGTGCCGGGGCTCTCCCGGGCCGTCTTGGGGGCTTCTGGGGGCCCTCTCGACATGTCCTGGAGCCTGCCTGGGCGGCCCGGGGCGGCCCGGGGCCAGCCCGGGGCGGTTTCGGTGCATTGGGGCCTGCGCCCTTCTGGCACGCACTGGGCCCTGCAATGTAGTAGAGACTAGGGCTGACCCGTGGACTCCGTCCACGACATCTTTCTGGAATGGTTCTCGGAGGAACGGCGCAGATTGCACCGAAAATCTACAAACACGGCGGCGGCTCGGGCGGCGGCAGCGAGACCGCGCCTTCGTGTCCGAGCTCTTGCAGCGCTCCAGCAGCTTGGCCCAGCGCACTGCTCGTTCACCCCCCTCCTATTGAGGACAGTGTCGAAGTCTCTCGGGGATGTGCGTCGAAGTCGAAGCCCATCTGACCATCGGGGAAAGCCACCGAAAGCGCCGGGGAGGCTCGCAAGGATCTACAGGGAGGGCCCAAAAGAGCTTCAAGAAAATTCGAAATTCTGTAGATCCGAAATTCTGTAGAAAATATCTAGAGAAACCGCTGTTGGGTAGGCCATCACCTCCGGGCGCGCCTTGATGGTGCGTTCCAGTCGCATCACCGCCAACGGGAGGGTTTGTTCGCCATGTCCATTCTGTTCGCCCAGAGGGTCTGTGGAGGCCTTCGGGCGAACAGAACGGGACAGGGCAAGGAATGGGGAAGACTTGTCCGAATCTCCTGGGCCCCCCAGGTGCTCGTCCGAAGAATGCGGAGAGGTCCCAGGGTCATATCAATTGGCTGCTGTCCCAGGGGTCCGGTCTGCTTGGCCCGAAGAGTTTGCCAAGGCCCCTGGGGGAACAGAATGGCACAGCATATCGGGCAAACGGGGGCGGTAGCTGGCCTGTCAGACCCGGCGTTCGTCTTCTGCCCAAGCGGCGCGGGGCCCACGGGCCCAAGGATTGGCGGCCCGCTGGGTTTCCTCTTCTTCGCCCACAGGGTTGGAGGAGGCCTCCAGGCGAACAGAATGGGGCAGGACGATGAATGTGGGAGACTTGTCGCAAGCTCCCAGCCCCCCCAAGTGTGCGCCCGAAGGGTGTGGGGCCGCGTTGGCTCCCTCAAAGGGCCGTCTTGGAGCCGTCCATGCCCGTCTTGAGGGCGCCGTTTGCCGTGATGGGGCCGTCTTGGTTCGTAGTGGGCCCCTCATGGGCGCGTCCGTAGGCCGTCCTGGGCCCATCGAGGTCCTCGTGGGGCTGTCTTGGAGCCGTCTGGGACCGTGAGGGGGCCGCCTTGGAGTCGTCTTGGGCCCCTCCTGTGCGCCTCCTTGGGCCGTCCTGGGCCCAGCAGGGGCCGTGTTGGCACCCTCTTGGGGCTGTCTTGGAGCCGTCTTGAGCCGTCGCAGCGCGCCTTGGGTTGTGCTGGGTCCGTCTTGGCCCGTCTTGGGGCCTTCCTTGAGGCATTTCTGAAGCCACTTAGGGCCTCGTGGGGGCCCTTTCGAGGGGCTTCTTTTGGGTCTCCTGGGGGGCTCTGGAGCCCTCTTGGGCCGTCTTGGGTGCCTCTTGGGCCGTCTTGGGACCGTCTGAGGCCGGCTTCGGCGCCTCTAGGGCTCTGTTGGGCCGTCTTGGGCCGCTCCTGGGGCCGTATTGGGTGCCTCTTGGGCCGTCATGGGCGCCTCCTGGGCCGTCCTGGGGCCGTCCTGGGCCTTCTTGGGGCCGTCTTGGGGCCCTCTTGGCCCGTCTTGGGGCTCTCTTGGGGTCCTCTTCGGCCGTCTTGGAGCGGTCTGGGGGACGTCTTGGGCCGTCTTGGAGCGTCGGGAAGCCGAAAAGGCGAGGAGGCCGAAACCATCGAAAAACACAATGGAAATCGACGGTTTCTGCCGCTCGGGGCCCTCTTGGGACGCCTCTTGGGAGGCCTCTTGGGGCGTCTTGGAGGCCTCTGGAGCCGTCTTGGGCCAATCTCGAGCGTCTTGGGCCCCTCGCTGGGCGTGCCGGGGCCCTCCGGGGCCGTCTTGGGGGCCTCTTGGGGCCCCCTTGGCGTGTCTTGGGGCCTCACGGGGCGGCCCGGGGCCAGCCCGGGGCGATTATGAGTTAATGGAGCCTGCGCCCTTCTGGTATGCACTGGGCCCTGCAATGTAATAGAGATGACGTTGGGCTCCAGCTTCGCCTCCCGCATCTCGCTCAGCAACGCCAGCGCCGGCTTCCACTGCTCGCCCTTCTCGCACGCGCTGATCCCAGCGTTGTAGCTGACTAGGGCTGACCCGTGGACTCCGTCCACGACATCTTTCTGGAATGGTTCTCGGAGGAACGGCGCAGATTGTACCGAAAATCTACAAACACGGCGGCGGCTCGGGCGGCGGCAGCGAGACCGCGCCTTCGTGTCCGAGCTCTTGCAGCGCTCCAGCAGCTTGGCCCAGCGCACTGCTCGTTCACCCCCCTCCTATTGAGGACAGTTTCGAAGTCTCTCGGGGATGTGCGTCGAAGTCGAAGCCCATCTGAGGCGTCTCAGGAGCGCTCGGGGAAGGGCTCGGGAGGCCATCGGGGAAAGCCACCGAAAGCGCCGGGGAGGCTCGCAAGGATCTACAGGGAGGGCACAAGAGAGCTTCAAGAAAATTTGAAATTCTGTGAAATCTTTAGAGAAACCGCTGTTGGGTCGTTCATCACCTCCGGGCGCGCCTTGATGGCGCGATCCAGGCGCATCACCGCCAACGGGAGGGTTTGTTCGCCATGTCCCATTCTGTTCGCCCAGAGGGTCTGTGGAGGCCTTCGGGCGAAGAGAACGGGACAGGGCAAGGAATGGGGAAGACTTGTCCGAATCTCCTGGGCCCCCCAGGTGCTCGTCCGAAGAATGCGGAGAGGTCCCAGGGTCATATCAATTGGCTGCTGTCCCAGGGGTCCGGTCTGCTTGGCCCGAAGAGTTCGCCAAGGCCCCTGGGGGAACAGAATGGCACAGCATATCGGGCAAAGGGGGGCGGTAGCTGGCCTGTCAGACCCGGCGTTCGTCTTCTGCCCAAGCGGCGCGGGGCCCACGGGCCCCAGGGTTGGCGGCCCGCTGGGTTTCCTCTTGTTCGCCCACAGGGTTGGAGGAGGCCTCCAGGCGAACAGAATGGGGCAGGACAATGAATGTGGGAGACTTGTCGCAAGCTCCCAGCCCCCCAAGTGTGCGCCCGAAGGGTGTGGGGCCGCGTTGGCTCCCTCAAAGGGCCGTCTTGGAGCCGTCCAGGCCCGTCTTGAGGGCGCCGTGTGCCGTGATGGGGCCGTCTTGGTTCGTCGTGGGCCCCTCATGGGCCGTCCGTAGGCCGTCCTGGGCCCATCGGGGTCCTCGTGGGGCTGTCTTGGAGCCGTCTGGGACCGTGAGGGGGCCGCCTTGGAGTCGTCTTGGGCCCCTCCTGTGCGCCTCCTTGGGCCGTCCTGGGCCCAGCAGGGGCCGTGTTGGCACCCTCTTGGGGCTGTCTTGGAGCCGTCTTGAGCCGTCGCAGCGCGCCTTGGGTTGTGCTGGGTCCGTCTTGGCCCGTCTTGGGGCCTTCCTGGGCGTTTCCTCGGACCCTCCTGGGACTTTCTGGGGCCTCTTGGTGCATCGGACCGCCGAAACGGCGGGAAACGCAAAGGGTGTAACAGTAAACAATGGAAAATTAACGATTTTTGCCAGCTGGGGCTCTCTTGCCATCTTGGCCCGTCTTGAGGCCCCGACCGGGCGCGTCCTTGGGCCGTCCTGGGCGCACCCTCCTGGGACCGTCTTGGAATCGTCTTGGGCCGTCTTGAGCGCGCCTTGGGCCGTCCTGGGCCCGTCTGGGGCCGTGTTGGCACCCTCGCGGCGAGGAAGCTCGGAGGCGGGCTCGAGGCCTCTTTGGGGCCATTTTGGAAGCTGTTGGGGCCTCTGTTGGGGCCTCGTCTGGGCTCCTTGGGAGCCTCCTGGGGCCTCTTTGGGGGATTCTTGGCAGCCCCTTGGGGCCTCTTGGGGGCCTGGTTGGGCCTCCTGGCGCCCTCTTAGTGCTCGGATTTTCGGTCCGTGGTCCCCCTCTTGGCCCCCTCTTGGGCCTGTCTTCGGGCCCTCGTGGGCCGTCTTGAGCGTCTCTTGGGTCGTCTTGGGGCCCTCTTGGGCTGTCTTGGGGCGCTCTTGGAAACCTCTTGGGCCGTTCTGGGGCGCTCTTGGAGGCCTCTTGGGCCATCTTCGAGCGTCGGCAAGCGGAAAAGGCGAGAAGGCCAAAATCCTTCCAAAACCGTCGTAAAGCGGATGATTTTGACGCCCGAAACCGTCCAAAACCTCCTGAGGCGGTCCCCTCGTCCGCCCCCGTGGCACCTCTTGGGGACCTCTTTTGGGCTCCTAGGGGCCTCTTGGGCCTCTCTGGGCTCGTCTAT